TTTTATAAAGAATATCTCTTTGGATTTGAGACTTTAGTCTTTGCAACTTTACAGATCTTCTTTATGCACCAAGAGCTTGTAACACTCCAAAGAGAAAGGAAAACTTGAAATCGCATCATATGACCCCTTTAAACCTTTAATTAGTTTTCATGTTACATTTTTGACAATCCTATTCGACAATGATAAGAAAGCTACAGAACCTACAGAAACTCTGAGACTGATAAATGTGTAGATATTTCTCAAAAAAAAAATTTCTGTTAAAATATATTAAAACTGCAATTGAAGCCATAGCCTTGTGGTTTCAAGTGGCTCCCCTCAACTGTCCTGTCAAAAAAAAAAAGCCCAAAAATGTAACTTAAAAAACAGCTTTGCTTATGCAAATTCTTTATTTTAGGACACCTGCAAAAGAGCACTCCTGAGCAATGAAGCCACACTTCCTGTGTACAGGCGGTTTTGACAGTCACTAGTTCCTGTTTGATATCTTCAATCTCAAGGGATAGTTCTTTTATTAAGCTGTACTTTTAAGCTGTGCTTTATTGCCTGTCAACTTTACAACATATTTTTCAAATAACATTATGCACTTTAATAAGCTGCACATTGCTGCTTTTAAATAATCCTGTATGCCTTGCCTCATATACGTCTACTGTAAGTGCATTATTGTAAACGTGTATTTTTTTTTTTCAAACTTGAGGGAAGAGTTGAAATGCTTTTGTTGGAATCAATAGCATGACAGCTGCTGTCAACTGAATCTGGAACATTATTTTAACATTAAACCGTGAATGAAGTCTAGTTGATATTTTATGTTTTACCGCCTGTACTTCGGGATTTAATCAGGCTCACAGAAGCCTTTCATGCTTTCATGTTGTCTGGATGTGGCAGAACCTGCAGGAAGCATCAATGAGGGGTGATTTGGAGGAACAGAGAAGAGTTCTGACCCAAAAAGAACTACTGGATCAATACAGACGAGACCTGGAGCAAGAGAAAATGGTAACAGCAACATTAGCTATGTCCCACTAGCAGACATCTCACCTCTCCTAAAAGGACCAGGAGTCTCTTGCATATTGATAGCGAATCCCTGACACACGCAAATTATATGCAATCCCTGAAATTGAGAAAGAGAAAGAGAGGGGCCCTGTTTCCTGGGTATTAAAGTGCATTTTTGGGTATTCAATCACAAGTTGTCAGCTGAGATGCATTTTACGTTTCCACCTGGTATACGTGCATTTTAAATGCCAATTCTGTTCAAATTAAATCACTGATGTCACTTTTGCAGCGATGTATTGAATGAAACAACCTGGGTAGCATGGCTCATGAGCAAGCGGTGATGTTGCCTGCCTGAAATAAGGTTTTGCAACATAATTGTGGGATGTGTAAGTGGCCAAAACTTTGAATAATCTATTCATAAATTAGATGTATTGCTGGTAATAAAATGTAAACAAGGTAATTATTTTCTTGCTGGTTGAGCTGTAAACTCTTTTATTGTTGAGTCTTAGAGTGTCAATTGATTCTAATATTTACTTGCGATTATTATTATTATTTTTTTGGAGATGCATTCAGTTTCTTACTAATAAAAGAAAGAAAAATAATGTGCTATTTCTGCAGAAATGCTGTCAGTGTGCAGTCAAACACAATACCAGTCTGCAGTTACACTTATGTGCTGCATATGTGTGAAACAGGCCTGATGTAATAAAGAAATGTCAAACTGCTTCTTAGGCTCGAATGCAGATGGAAGAGCAGGTGGTTGAAAAGGCCAATGAAGTGGAGCAGTACTGGCAGCGTATGCAGGAGCTGGAAGACATGTACCGTCAACTGAAAAAGGCACTAGACGACGAGAGGCAGGCCAAAGAGGATGAAGAAGCCCTGCGCAAACTGCAGGCCAGGTGCACAAACACACAACATTCAGTATACACATCCAGTAGTCAATGTTTTGGGCCACCGCATTATGCAGAACATTTGTGTTTTATTTGCAGGCTGCTACAAGAGGAGGCAAACAAGAGGCTTGAATTGGAGCAAATTCATCATCAGCAGCAAGAAATCTTATCCCAGTCTCAGAAAGAGAAAGAAGAGCTGGAAAGGGAGCGGGCAGAGAAGGAAAGTGCCCTGCAGGCTGCACAGGAGCAGCTGCAGAGCCTTAGAAGACAGAGAGAGGGGGCACAAGAGGAATACATGGTAGCGCTTTCATACTGATAGAGTGTGTTTAGGGATTTTTATAATGTTTGCTGTGTCAAATCAACATTATCCTTTTCTAGTATATTTTGATTTCCAACATATTTAATTTGGCTTCTTTTACTCTGTAGCACAGATGTCCATCTCATTAGACAGAACAGACGTTAAAAGTTTTGTTGGTTGTTGTTTCCCCTTTTAAATGCAAAAAAAAGTACAACTTTAATTTTAAACTTAAAGGAATAGTTCACCCAAAAATGAAAACTGCTGAAAATGTATTCACCTTCAGGTCATCCAAGATGTAGATGAGTTTGTTTCTTCATCAGATCACTTGCTCAATAATGGATCCTCTGCAGTGAATGGGTGCCGTGAGTTGAAAAAAAAAACATCATAATAATCCAAAAAGTGATCCACAAAACTATAGTCCATCAGTTAACATCTTGTGAGGTGAAAAGCTGCATGTTCGTAAGAAACAAATCCATTCAAGACGTTTTAATTTTAAATAATCACTTCTGGCCAAAATACATGTCCATAATGCATAAAAATGCTTCCATCTTCTGTTGTTCTCTCACACTTTTAAACAGTGCTTGATCTGTGCAGATTTCTCTCCTGAAGCAATACTATGGATTGGGAACTTGTATTTTAGCCAGAATCAATGATATGAAGTTAAAGATGTCTTAATCATGAAGTTGTTTATTACAAACATACAGCTTCTCACTTCACTGGATTCATGAGAATTACTTGTGAATTATTGTGATGTTTTTATCAGCTGTTTGGACTCTCATTTTGCAATAATACATTTCTCCAAATCTGTTCTGATGAAGAAACAAACTCATCTACATCATGGATGGCCTGAGGATGAGTACATTTTCAGCAAGTTTGCATTTTTGGGTGTACCGTTCCTTTAAGGTAAATGATCAGAATTTCAGTGACTTTTATTGTTTTTCAGGTCGTTACAAAGAAACTGGAACGGGCAGCTAACAAAACAAAGAATTGGAAGCACAAAGTCTCCAAACATGAGGGCCTACTTCAAATCATTCAACCAGGTGACCGAGTGTAAACTTTCTCAGGTGGCAGATACCATTTCCAAAAGCACCAGATTAATATTTTTCATGTATTTCTCAGGCAACAAGTCTCCCACTAAAATGACCAACTGGGGACAGGCAGCGTTCACTGAAACAGAGCTGAATGAGATGGAGAGGATTTGGCAGGAGAACAAGACTAGATCATATGATGGACAATAACATCTAAAACATCCATTTCTTTTATTTGTGTGTATTTATTTTGTGTTTGCCAGGTCATCCTCTTGACTCTTGTTAATGGTTAAATCTGTTGTTACTAAAATGTGTTTTTATTCAACCATTTATTAATCGTGTGCTCTTATAATGGAACATTAGCAGATAAATGATGTGCAGTCGATGGTGTTGATTTTGTTTACGAGTTATCAAATTAATGTAAAATGTGACATCCATAACTTTTTATACTTTGTTGTATACATTGTTGTTGTTTTTTAAACACACTTAGAAAATGTAAAATTATTATCATTCAATTTTAGTAATTTCACACATTTTTTTAATGTGAAAATAGCTGTTCAGAGGCAGTTTGGCGGTGCTAGGGCTATCAAAGCACCAGATTCCTACAGTATCCACTAGATGCCCTTGTTGATACATAGATAAACCCATAAGACCAATACAGTTTCTGTAGACTAGAGTCACCAACTGACAAAAGATGCATAACTGTAATACTGTGTTACTCTTAGCAGTGCACGCATAATCCATTTAGCTCGAAATTTGCTTTTTAACTTCACCTTGTTTGAAAATATATAAAATAATAAATCATGCTTTTCATGATGGGTTGATGTGGTTCATTTTGTCTTCAATCTCTTTGTCAACCAGGATGAATTTAATATATTGACAGCATTTTGCATGTATGCATATGACATGCTTTAATCCAAAGCAGCATACAATACATTGCATTCAAGGTATACATGTAATTAGTTCATGCATTTTCTGGGAATCAAACTTATGACCTTAGCATAATACCATACTGTATACACTGTATACATAATGTTTGAGTTTTGTTGTCTTTGTTATTATTATTGTTATAAAATAATTATAGTGCTTTTACATCTTTATTTTATTTTACTGTGGTGGATGTTGTTAGGCAGGACGCCAAAAAGTAACTATAAAATCACAACAACTAGAGTTGTTACGAGTGGTTTGATGGCTTTATAAGTTAGACATCAAACTGTCAAAGTAGCCTGATAAAGGGCACATTGTAAATATCTGGCGCCTTAATAAATCAAATTTGATCACTCTACTTTTGAGTTCCAGACAGACAGTCAGTCAGTCTGTGCATTGTAACTTGCAGAGTTACAGTCCCACATATGTTTCAGTGGTTCTTTCTGCAGGTTACCATCAATCAATCCACTAGTAGGGACTTTCTTTATGAGTGAATCATTAATTCCTTTATTCAACCGGTACATTTGAACACTGATTCATTCGCGAACAACGTTCCACTGTTGAGTGTTTGAATGCTCGGAGGCGAGGCGACGGTTGATCCTGCTTTTGAAACTGTTTTCGTTGTCGAAGTAAAAATAGACAATGTAAGTGGTAATATTGTCTCTAAAATGTACTTTACTCAACATGATGTCTTTTGTTTATTGAATATCACATTTGATCATTGAATATCGCCTCGGTGGTGCCTTCGGCTTGGCCGTAGGCTAACGTTAGGCCTACTAATAAGAACAACATCAGCAGTTTTCTTTTTACCAATGCTTTTAGTGTGACTTATCCCTTAAATACTTGTTTTAATATCCTTATTTTGGACATAAAAACTGACATTGGCTGAGACATTTAACGTTAGTGGGGCGCGAACGCAGTAGAACGTTACAATTAATCAAATCACCGCACTTAGTAAGATCAAATTTACAATTACAAGTAAGCTTATTGCAGTATATTTTAAACATATAACGTGTAAAAAGCAATATTGATAAGAAAAAAATCATCGTGCCAGCCACTAAAACGTTCAAAGACATGACTGAAAAGTGGTCGAAGCGCGCGAAATTCCCTGAGCGATTTTTACAGAGGGCAGATGTTTGCTAATGGCATTGCGATTATGTGAACAACATGTTGATGGAGTGGAGGGATCGAATATGCTCCTATATGTTCTGTCAAAGACCGAACAAGCGGCACTAATGATTGGGGGTGAAGATGGGGAGCGCGAAGAAAAAACGTGTGTGTGTTGATGCGCAGTTTTCTTAAGCCCGCTTCTGCTGAATTTCTGACCATTACCGCCCACTCCCGCAACGTGTGTGTCACGCTCCTGCACACATTCTTATTGTCTTATTGTATATATTTCATCAACGAAAATAGTTCCAAATATAGTAACAGCTGAGCCGCTGTGCATCTCTAAAAGCAAACACAGTCGAGCTTCATTCATGAATGAAAGTGCGTTTTTGAACGAATCTAGTGAATCGGTGATTCATGATTACACAATCATAAAGATTTCATTTGAAAATGTACCTACAAGCCACTTTTGTGTTCTTCTGTGCCACCTCTGTAGTATAAATTAATTTATTAATACCAATTTCATATGATTGGTAACTTATTTGGGTTCACACGTACACGTGTATTTTTATAAACTGAGTTTTTCCTTCTTCCAGTTTAAAAAATAATCTCCATCCACATGAAAATGAAAACGCAAACGCGTGGTCCATGAGAAATAGTTCTGCCACCACAGCTGGAAAAAATCCTAGAGCAAACACTGCATGCATGCATTTAATAAAATTAGAAAAATGCATTTACAAAGGTAAAAAGAAAATGCCCCTGAAATCACTTTGAGTCAAATGTCAGCTTGTATTATGAAGGCTAATTCTTGATCAGAATTGTTGATTATTGATCAGAAGGTGCTCCTACATTTTTTTAATTAGGAGGGCAAGCGCTCCTAATTACAAGAAGAAAAACACTGCTCTTAAACTGGGGGTGTGACGGGTATGGCTGTGGAATGGGGTTTGGCCGAGGAAAAATTTTCAGTCAAAATATATTTTTTTGCTTTAACCCCATAATTTTCGCACATCAGGGAGCCGCTATCAATATGCGGGGTGTTGAAATCGCATTTGAATAAGTGCTTGCTATTCAATTTCGCGATATAGCGGCACTCTGTGTAAAGGGAGCACTTACAGTGAGCCTGATAAAGGGCACATTGTAAATATCTGGCGCCTTAATAAATCAAATTTGATCACTCTACTTTTGAGTTCCAGACAGACAGTCAGTCAGTCTGTGCATTGTAACTTGCAGAGTTACAGTCCCACATATGTTTCAGTGGTTCTTTCTGCAGGTTACCATCAATCAATCCACTAGTAGGGACTTTCTTTATGAGTGAATCATTAATTCCTTTATTCAACCGGTACATTTGAACACTGATTCATTCGCGAACAACGTTCCACTGTTGAGTGTTTGAATGCTCGGAGGCGAGGCGACGGTTGATCCTGCTTTTGAAACTGTTTTCGTTGTCGAAGTAAAAATAGACAATGTAAGTGGTAATATTGTCTCTAAAATGTACTTTACTCAACATGATGTCTTTTGTTTATTGAATATCACATTTGATCATTGAATATCGCCTCGGTGGTGCCTTCGGCTTGGCCGTAGGCTAACGTTAGGCCTACTAATAAGAACAACATCAGCAGTTTTCTTTTTACCAATGCTTTTAGTGTGACTTATCCCTTAAATACTTGTTTTAATATCCTTATTTTGGACATAAAAACTGACATTGGCTGAGACATTTAACGTTAGTGGGGCGCGAACGCAGTAGAACGTTACAATTAATCAAATCACCGCACTTAGTAAGATCAAATTTACAATTACAAGTAAGCTTATTGCAGTATATTTTAAACATATAACGTGTAAAAAGCAATATTGATAAGAAAAAAATCATCGTGCCAGCCACTAAAACGTTCAAAGACATGACTGAAAAGTGGTCGAAGCGCGCGAAATTCCCTGAGCGATTTTTACAGAGGGCAGATGTTTGCTAATGGCATTGCGATTATGTGAACAACATGTTGATGGAGTGGAGGGATCGAATATGCAAAAATATTCATATTGTATTTTGAGCCAAGTCCCAAAATATCTAAACAAAACAAACAATCTCACTATTCTAAATAAGCAAAGTATGCAGGTACAAGCAGTATACTGCTTTGAATTTCTAGAGAAGACTTTCTATATATTTGGAAAGGCTTAAAATATTTTCATACCAGATTTGTTCAGAGATCTATCTATTTTAATGTTCTCCACAGCAAGGAGCTGTACATGAGGGAGAGCAGGAGGATGGGAGAAAGCCAGGAGGGACCAGTGATGTGGAGGTGAGTGACATACAAGCAAATATCAGATGTGAAAGGGGAGCCTTATCCAGAAAAATGGTACACATGGCCTTTCATTTATTTATTTACACTAATATAGAATTCAGTGACCACTCACTTTCAGCAACCTAAGTACAGACCCCATTAATTTTTTCCTTTCAACAAAACCCTTTATTAAACCCTTTATTTACTAAATCAGCCAGCTCAGAAATGAATTAAAATGAATGAAAACATAGGACAAGACTGAGTACTTAACCGTTTGATTAAATTAAGTGTTAATCCATGACACATTATGTAGATGTAATAATAAAGTTGACAAATGTAAAAATAAAAAACCTGAAAATACAGCATTACATAAAACTATCATTTGACATTTGAAATATATTATAAGATTAAAATTGATTGAAAGTATAAAAATATATTGAATACAAATACAAGTCTTTTTGTATTAAAGGGGTCATATGATGCTGCTAAAAAGAACATTATTTTGTGTATTTGGTGTAATGAAATGTGTTTATGCGGTTTAAGGTTCAAAAAACACATTATTTTCCACATACTGTACATTACAGCATTTTCCAGAACTGCAACCTTCCTGGAGTCTCCAGAATTACAAGGTGTCAGGTTCTGAGAGACTTTGCTTGGGTAAAAAATCCTAAGAAATGACCCTCACTTAATTAGAATAACATGCTGAAATATTGTGAAATACATGAAGACTATTTTTGTAGGCTTTATGGACCAATAAGTTGAGAGTGACTCTTGAAGGACCAGCACCTCATCCTCTTGTACCACTGTTTGAAGAATTGATCTTCCAGAATCTGGCAGTAAGTTTTAGGAGCTCATTTTTGTCAGTCTCTGCAAGACAGACTTTTCAGGATAGGAGATGGACTAAAAATGAGCTCCCAAAACTTACTGCAACATGGAAAATGAAAATACTGAAAAATGTAGAACTTGAAAAATTGGAAAAACAGCTTAGTGAAAAGGCGTTTACAGTTTAAAAGCAAATAGAAAGTCCTATTTTTTTTGTATTTTTCTTAATTTTTTTTTTTGCAGATTTGCACATGTACAAGGTTTAAAATGTTCATTAAATATTTAAAAAAAATATTGACATTTTGAGCAGCTGCATTCCTCTAGGTCAAAGATGAAAAAATGGGATTTACAATAAAAAGTAATTTACAAAATTATTTTGACTTGAGTTTATTTATTAATGAGTAACGTATCTTTTGAGTGAATGTGCAAATTT